TATATATATATATAATGTTAAAAAACAAACAATATATATATATATATATATATATATATATATATATATATATAAACAATATTTAAAATAAGTTGACTTAGATATTTTATTGCAAAATAAGAATTATATTTATAAATCAATGTATTTGTTCCACTGAATTGATTTTACACTCATTTTAATACAAATAATTCAAATAATAAAAAAATATTAAAATAAGTAAAAATGTGTTTGATAAGATATGTTTTACTGTGTAATAGTTATGAAAATAGTATTTTCTTGCAGGTGATATGTGTTCATTTATATAAATTATTATTTTTTATAAATGTATATAAATAATTAATTCACTGTTTATTAAAAGTTACATATTTATATATTATATAATTTATATATAAACTGTATAAGTTATATAACAAAAGAATTTATATACATACATGTTATTTGTTTTACTAAAGTAATTTTATGCTAAATTTAATTTAAAAAAATTATTTGAAGCCTCGACTTATTTTGCAAAATATAATTTATGTTTTATCTTGTGATTTTGGAGTGAAATATGATTCAGATATTTCTGAGATTCACCTTTTAGAAGTGCATTATTTAAATTGGTCTCTGCGGGACAACCACAACCAAGAAAGCCCAGACGGTGTTGTCATCTTCTCCTGATGTGCTGTCACCCATCCATTCATCTTCCTCTCATCTGTTCATCTCAGACAGGAAGCGAGTTCCCAGCCACTCCTCCATGTTCCTGTAGGCCTGCTCTGCTCTCTGCTGCAAACTGCTCACTGTTCTCAGCGCATGGGCCTTTATCAGCTCCAGACGCAGCTTAACTGCATGTTCTGCACACAAACACAAAGCATTCTTACGGTTTATACATCACATGCACACACAACATCCTGAAACTGAGGTATCATAAGACAATGTCGCCCAGCAGCTCATGGCGTACCTTCACGTTTCAGTGTGGCTGTAAACTCCTGTTTGATTCGTTTCCTCTCTGCCCTCCTCTTGACCTCCTCATGGCTCTTCTCCACTGCGGGCTGAAGACTGGGCTCCTGTGGAGGGGTGGGAACATCACACACACTAGTGTTAACACGTAACACAGCTGAAACTTGTATGATGATGGAGCAGTGGCTCTTCTTCACCTTTCTTTTTCCCAGCTTTCCTATTGTCTGTAGCAGAGTTTAAAGTCTGCACTCTCTGTGCCTCATCTGCTTCTGTTCTTCACCACCCTCCTCTTCTTCTCGCTGCTGCATCTCTGCCAACACCTGACACATGAAGACAGATATATCACCATTTTATATCCTGAATATTATATTCAGAATTTTAAGTAGGAACTATTCTTTTTGAAATAATCACATTTTAAAATGTCTAATTGTGCATAAATAGATAAAATAATCAATATTACCATGAAACATAACACCACCGTTCAAAAGTCTGGAATAATTTAAATGTTTTAATGTTTTTGAAAGAAGTCTCCCATGCTCATGCTCACCAAGGTTGCATTTATTTGATCAATCAAATACAATTTAAAATAACCATTTTCTATTTGAATATATTTTAAAATGTGACCCTGGACCACAAAACCAAGTCGCTGGGGTATATTTGTAGCAATAGCCAAAAATACATTGTATGGGTCAAAATTATCCATTTTTATTAATGCCACAAATCATTAGATTAAATATCATAATCAATAATCAGAGTAAATTTCCTACTATAAATATATTAATACTTAAATTTTGATTAGTAAGGCGATTTTCTCAATATTTAGATTTTTTTGCACCCTCAGATTCATAATATTACTGTTTTTACTGTATTTTTAATTTAAAAAATGCATACTTCCTTGATATTAATAAATGCAGACTTGGTGAGCAGTGTTTCAAAAATGAATTATTCCAAACTTTTGACAGGTAGTTTAATTAAAAACTATAAATTAACAATGTAATATTCAACTTAGTAACCAATATAATAGTAATTCTAACATTGAAAGTATTTGTTTTTATACATATGATAATTGTAAAAAAAAAATTATTTGTCATCTATAATATTGTTTAAATAAACAATTTCACACAGCATTAAACCACTTTTTTTGGTATAGACTTTTGTATTATAGACTATTCATCTACATTTTGACAACTGATTTGTCAATTGATTTGAGATCTCACACAAAGGCATTTCTAAGATCGCATCCTTCTACTTGAACATAATGAGCTGATGTGATTCAGAGGAATATGTCAGTAGATATATTTCAGTAACAGCTAATATAATTTATTGGAATTCATTTTGTGATTTCAGGGATAAAACTTAATGCAACAAACTTTAATAGAGTTTAGAGTGAAGTAGCCTCAGACAGCTACTGCAGCCACAGATTTCTGCAAAAGTATAGACAGATCGCAACATCAAATTGTTTAAGTTGCTGATAACTGATTTAATCACAGATTTTTAGGTGGCTGAAATTTAGCTAAGACAGCGTTCTCAAATGATTATCTACTGGCAAAACAGGGCCTTGTATTTTAACAGCAAAATTAAACTCTATCTTTCAAAATATAATCAAACACTAGCTTTCTATTGTTTCTA